CTTAAATAGCACCAAAGTATGTTTTATGGACAATTATAGCACACAATCCACAAATTTCCAAAATAGCACTAATTAACACAATTATAATATTTTAAAGTTTGAGTTGACTATTTTACATTTATGATATAGTTTTTAAGGGGTAGAGTTTATTGTTAAGAGTTTAGGAATTAAATCTAAAAGTTTAATTTTGATATATGGTGCTAATTTTGGAAAGTTGAGAGTGTGTGCTAATTTTGGAGAAAAAAACTTGAATTAGTGCTATTTTTGAGAAGTTAAGAAAATATATATATTCATTTTCGCGCATGAATAATCACATTTGAAATTTACAAAAAAAATTTAAAAGTAAACTTTGGATACTTTTAAAAGATCTAAATCAATGTACCTTTGGTGTTACTTCATCTTCATTGCTAGCAATGCCCCTTTTTGGGTGTTTTCATCCTAAGCAACACTGGTCAAAAGCAACACTAAGATGACGAGACTTAAACTGAGGAGACTTACACCGAGGAGGATGAAAACACCCAAAAATGGGCAATGCTAACAATGAAAATATACCAAATGTACAATGATTTAGTTTGTTTAGAAGTATCCAAAGTCACTCAGCTTAAAAGTCTTATTGTAAATTTCATATGTGATTAGGTTTAAAGGATAAATCCCCTTCTCCATGTCATTCTACACCAAAATTCAGTTGTGAAAGAGAGAAAGTTTTAAAAGCTTATATTAGGCTTTTTTAAACCTTGTATTTTCATTTATTTTTGTTTCCTCTATTCAAATGGCATGGTGACTACTATATATGAAAACTCAATGGATGCCAAGTGGATATATGTTTAAAGTCATAAATATCCCTCTTTTAATAAAACATAATTACACCACTTTGAAAAGGTATATAATTGTAATACAGTATTATTTAAAAATTATATCAAATTCCTAATTCATTTTAGTTTTTACTACAACGGATTAAAGAATTATTATCATTGCATTAAATAATAAATTAAACTATTGATTTTTGATAATAAAAATCTTTAAAGAGTTTAGCTTTATTATTTTTTTTACAGAATATGAGAAATAATTAATATGTTAAATAATAAAAACTACAAAAAATACCTTAATATGATTTCTTGAAAATAAATATATTTAAAATAATCATAGTATACACAAGTTAAATATAATTCTTTATATGATAAAATAAATTATTATTTTCAGATGATATATTAAATATAGAATATCAAAATTATATGATGAGTAATACTGTATATCAAAAAATTTAAAATATAAAAATACAAAATTTTTATGGAAAATAAAATTCAACCCCTAAGTTTTGAATCCAAACCTAATCTGAATCGAATCTGATCCAAACCAAATCTGAAATATATACATATAAGTTTACATCCAAAACTATCCAAACCCAAAACTACCAAAATCCGAAATATTTATCTAAATATACTCGACTGGATTTTAAATTTCTAAATCCAAAATCTCAAAATTTCCGATCCAAACCCAAAAAGGTACCGTACGGTTCGACTAAACTCGCATTTACAATCTTTTTTCCTACTGTTAGACTAGCTTTAAAAGCACATAACAAACTATGAGGTGAATTTAAAAATAATCAAAAATAAAGGGAAATATTACAAATAAAGAAAACTTATCTCTCTAGAAAAAAAAGACAGAACTAAAAGAACAACAACACAGATGAGAGTGATCTAACAAAAAACCCTCATACCGACACGAGAAATCATCTCATGTGTCCTTTTTTCATATTTTTCATCCACTATCTCCTTTTTTAATCTCAATACCCCTTCTTCATTAATGAAAATGTGTCATCCCCAAACTACCCTTCCTTATTTTCTTTTTCTTTTAATTATTTTAATTAAGAAAAAAAAAATCAGAACCCGACGAACAACGATTCTCGTCGATTTCGCCGTCGGCGATTCTTCGTCGGAGCTCTCCAATATCAACGTTTCTTCATCTCTTTCGAACTGTATCAAGCTCTCATTCAATTTGTAGGTGTGTTCTTCTACACAGGAGTAAGTTCTTGATTGAATATTTTAGATTTTGGATTTTGGAAATCTAGATTGGATTTTGCTTGAAAAGCTTAGCACATTAGGTGTTTTACTATGGGTTCTGGGTCGATTGAGCTAATTAGTTGATAAAAAATGGATTTCAGTGTTTGAATCGTAGTGAATTGCAGAGTTTAGAACTTGAGACATTCGATTCGATTTTGAGTATAACTAGTAAAACTGGTAATACTAGGTAAATTAGTATAACTAGTAAAACTAGTAATACTGATTACTGTAGTATAACTGATAGTATTACTGATTGAGTTTGTTGGAATTGTTTTGGCAGGACGCGATGAGCGAAAACGTTAGTATACATTTTAAATGTGAAGGTCGAATTTATAGTATAATGTTCAAGACACAAGTGAGGGATGTAACGTTGTTGATGTTAAAAGCAAGGATAAACAAGAAGCTTGAATATGTTGAGAACCACATTAAATTGGATTTGAGCTATTATCCGCTAGTGGTAGGTGTAACAGAAAAGTGTGAACTTATTGATGACAAAGATGTGAATGTGTATCTAATGTCCGTTGATCATGAGAAGCGAAGATGTATGTTGTATGTGAATGTCACGACTGTCTCGAAACAGCCTGAACAAGTGCTTAATGATGATGATGAGGCTGTTAGTACGAATTATCAAAAGCAATAGTCAAAAGATTCTAAAATTGTTTGATTCATGTTTGATATTTTGGTTTGTACTACTATTATTTTGGTTATGTCAGAATTATCATGAAACTTATTTTAAAGTGTAGTAATGTTTGATTTCTCTTCCAATTGATGTGTATATTTATGTTGTCATAACATAGTAAAACTAGCACAACTAACATAAAACTAGTATTAAAAATGTTAAACATCCATAAAATGATTTTAAAAGAAAATCTAAGAATGTGTATACTAGTAATTGTCAAAAGTAATATTTAAATATTTACAAAGAGTTATATTTTTAAAAATATATAAATTTTAGGTTGGTATGAAAGAATCCAATCAAGTGTTTCCTTATACTTTTAAGTTCACTTTGTAAATAAACACCAAGTTGGGATGGCAAAGTTATAGAATTATATATTTTAAATATATTAATGCATAGAAGACTCATAATTATAGGTTTATAGACTTTAATCAACTGTACAACTAAAAATTATAAGTTTAAGTGTGGGTAAAACTACTTATATTGAAAAAACCTGAAAAGTACAACTATTTGCAATTTTGGTACAACTACAATCTTGGGTATAACTAAGTGTGAACACATAGTGTGAACACACATATTGCACACGTGGCAATACACGTCAGTTTTATTTTTTTTATTTATATATATATATATATATAAATTTTGCAAAACGAATTTTAATATTTTCTTAAAAATTTTCAAAATTTTTTGTAATACTGGTACAACTGGTATAACTGATATAGCTAGTAAAACTAAGGAAAGTTAGAATATGTGATGTTAAATTTGTATTTTACTTATTCTCCTTTGTTTGTTTTGTAAGATTATTTCATGATTCTTCTTAAGTTTTTCTTGGTATTTATAGTTATATGAACAAAATCAAGAAATTTTTTTTTAGTATTACAAATAAAATTGGTTCTCTCTTTCCCTATTTGGTTCCGAAATCGCTCTCTTTCTCCTCATTCTTCTACTACATTTTCATTCGTTTCCTCTTCGAAATCCTGCAACAAACAATAAAATTATCTCAACAATTTCTCATAAGACTAATAGTTCTATCTAGTTTTACCAGTTTTACATAGACTAGTTGTACCGGTTCTACCAGTTTTACACATATTAGTTGTATCAGTTTTACATAGACTAGTTGTACTTATTCTACTAGATTTACACAGAAGTGTACCAGTTCTACCAGTCTTACACACACTAGTTGTATTTAGTTCTACCAGATCTAACATTACACAGGTAAGTTGTATCAGGTCTACCAGTTTTACACTACTAGTTGTACCTAGTTCTACCAGTTTTACTAAATACCACAAATCTATATATTCCAGTTCCAGATTTCTCTACAAACAGCATAGCAGTCGCGTTACTTACACTTGAATCGTTATGGTCGGCCCTCAATTCGCCTTTAAATCTCTCCGGCGTCTCCTTCTTCGACCATAGCACTAGGAGAGTTGGTTCCCGAGTTCGAACTTCCCTCCTCATTATTTATTTCTTCTCTTTGTACTTCTCCTTCTTTTTCTTCTCCATTACAATCAGATCGCAGAGTCTCATATCTCTAGTTATCTTCCGCTGAAATCGAGTCACCTCCTCCTTCTTCTTCGCCGGAATCGATTCTTTTCTCACTCAACCTTGCTTTTGCCGCCGAAATCAATTCTCTCTCTCGTTTCTGCTCCTTCTTCTGTCGCCGATATCGCACATTGCTTTCCGACTTCGTCCGTCGGGAGCTCGTCCGCCTCGTGTCCTTCATCCCCTTGTTTTCACCATTTGCAACTGCTGAGATGCAAATCTTTGAAGTTGAGCCAAATCGATAAAAACCCCGATTCAAAATCGAAATTAAAGGATGATTTCTCAGAGATTATGAACAAATAGAAGGAGTAGATTCTGAATTTTACGGTTTGTTCATGTGAGTTGGGGTTTGGGATGAGAAGAAAACAAAAGAAAAAACCTAGGTAGAAAGCGTGTGTTTAAGTCTTTTTTTTCGGTTTTGTTCTTTTATTTTTTTTGGGTTAATGGGTAGATCCAATTAGATGAGGTTGGATGGATAAGATCCAGATTTTTTGTGTAATTAGTCTGTTTTCTGTAGGGGAAGAGAGTAAAATACCTAATTTTCGAATTAAATAAAAATCAAAAAAGAAATAAAGAATAGAAGGGGAGAATAGAGATTCTTTTCTCCCAAATAAGGATACAGGAGACGAATACTCTACCGACACACCTAAATACTCTGCTTCAAATCAACGCTTCTCTGTTTCGATTTCGAGATACTCTGACTAAGCCCTTTGTTTAATATGGCGACGACACGAATCGTGAGGGTTTCACAAGACGGTTCCGGCGATTACTGCTCTGTTCAAGACGCAATTGATTCGGTGCCTTTAGGTAACACTTGTAGAACTGTGATACGTCTCTCACCTGGGATTTATAAGCAACCTGTTTACGTACCTAAGAGAAAAAACTTCATCACCTTCGCCGGAATCTCACCGGAGATCACGGTTTTGACTTGGAACAATACTGCTACTAAGATTGAACATCACCAGGTACACTAAAGTTGTTATCTTTTTAGTGTTTTGGTATGTGTAAGGCTCTGATTTGGTTTTGATTGTGTTGTTGTTAGGCGTCTAGAGTCATTGGGACTGGTACGTTTGGTTGTGGGAGTGTTATTGTTGAAGGTGAAGACTTTATTGCAGAGAACATTACTTTTGAGAACTCTGCTCCTGAGGTATTGTATAAAGTTTCTTCCTTTTTGCATTTTTAGTATGTTTCAGATTCAAAGTTTGGAACTTTCTTATACTGAGAGTAGAATCAATAGTTGTGTATGGTTAATGTTACAACTGATGTTACAGTTTTAATAGGCTTTTATCATTTCATATGAATTACTTAATGTTTTGGTGTATACTTAGTAATGTTTATTGTGTTGATTTTGTACTAGTTATGGTTTTTGACTCTTTTAGTTCTTTATTTAGGGATCAGGACAAGCTGTTGCAATACGGGTTACTGCAGACCGCTGCGCGTTTTATAACTGTCGATTTCTCGGTTGGCAGGTTTGTTGAGCTGTGTTTATATATATATATATAGATTACATCAAATGTTTCTGTTTGTCAATAAAGTTTTGGAGCTGTATTGTTGTGGTATGTCTTTGGCACTTTTGTCGTGCAAATACTGGAATCGATGTACGTGTGTAGTTTAGTTTGCCAAGCTTTGGAATGCAGGATACATTGTATTTACATCATGGGAAACAATATTTGAAAGACTGTTACATCGAAGGAAGCGTGGATTTCATATTTGGAAACAGCACCGCGCTTTTGGAACACTGCCATATCAACTGCAAATCTCAGGGTTTTATAACAGCGCAAAGCCGGAAATCATCTCAGGAATCTACTGGTTATGTATTCTTAAGGTTTGCTTCAAATGGATTTTACTTGACCATCTCATACAGCTTTGTTATTATTCCATGGAAACTGAGCTTTCTACGAAACTTTTTATTCGCAGATGTGTTATTACCGGAAATGGTCAGAATGGGTATATGTATCTCGGAAGGCCATGGGGACCATTTGGGAGGGTGATCTTTGCATATAGTTACATAGATTCGTGTGTCAGAAATGTCGGTTGGCATAACTGGGGAAACGCAGAGAATGAGAGAAGTGCTTGCTTTTACGAGTACAGGTACATCTCTTGACTGTAACAAGTTAACCATCAATAAACAGCTTTTGATACTAACTCTATTGGATGTAAAAACCTCAGGTGTTTTGGCCCGGGTAGCTGTTCGTCTGGACGGGTTCCGTGGTCGAGAGAACTGATGGATGACGAAGCTGGACACTTTGTGCATCATAGTTTTGTTGATCCAGATCAGGACCGGCCTTGGTTATGCCTAAGAATGGGAGTGAAAATACCTTTTTCCGCATAGAGTACTGAGAAGAAAAATGTTGTAACTACCACAACGGAGGCCTAGAATAATGAAGGATCATGTTGAACCTAAAGTATCATCAAACTTGGGATTATCTTCTTCTGTCCAAGTGAATGAGTTAAAAAAAAAAAAAAAAAATTCCATCGAATGTATAATTTTACTCTTCATGGTTTCTTCTTGTTATGCAATGGCAACCAAATTATGTTTGTAACTTTGTATAACTAAAATTATTATTATTATGTTTTTGTATAGTTGAGCAAATAGCAAAATGGGCATTTGGTCTAGTGGTATGATTCTCGCTTAGGGTGCGAGAGGTCCCGAGTTCAATTCTCGGAATGCCCCCAAATTTTTCTTATCACACTGAAACTTAATTTTTAAACAACACTACGAATGCTTTATTTTGATGGGTTTGGTGAAGAACATAAAGCAAAAGGGTTAACAAGAGCTTCCTCATTAGTCAATTACACTATGTTCAATCAAATAACACATAAGTAGACTCGAGTTCTAATTTCAATATCTCAAGAGTTACCATCAACAAAATCGAGAAAATAAACTCAAAGAGAAGGAGAAGACACACAAGAGAACACAACACGAGTTGTTCAGTAACATTTGGCCAGGCTGGGTGAAGAGAGAGGCTTCTTCACCTGGTGAGTTTGAAGTATAAGATAAAGATAATGGCGAGGACAAGGACTGTGATAATTGCCCCAATAGTCCATTTGTTCCTATTCATTCTCCTCGTCATCGCGGTCAATATCTTCTTGCTCTTTCCCACGTTGTCATCAATTGTATGAACAGTTTCATGGGCCCGTAGAAGAGACTGTCTCTGGCCGTGCAGATCCTGAAGGATTGAAACACCAAGCTCTTCGGTCTCCAGCAATGTTCTCATACTGTCCTTGATTTTGTTTGTGGTTTGGTCTAAACGAGTTGTTGACATCATCAATCTTGATCTTTGATCAGTTGAAGCCTAACCAGTTTGTATCATCAATCAGAGAGATGACAATATGTTTTCGACAAAAAATTGTGATTGATGTACTCAACAAAATAAATATACGTACCGTCAATGCGTCAGCCCTACCAGTTTCTAGTAAGTCATCTCGCGCAGTAGCGTTTAAGTTTCCAGATGTGATTTTCTTCACTTCAGTCTTGAAATTGTTAAGATCGGATTTGTATTCCCTTAATTTGACAAGGAGACTGGATTTAACATTGGGTGGAAGGCTTCTCGCCTCGAGGTCCATTTTCTTAACCTGGAAATATAAAAACCGACCATCAATCCCATATGAGAGACTATGGTAAAACTTTCATATCCCATTAGAGCTATGCAAAAGATCACATACCAATGCTTCAGCTTCCTCAACCCCAGATTTTATTTCAGATAGCTTCTGCTTCTTTTGTTCTGCAAATTAGTAAAGCCCACACAATTCATATTAAACCTTATGAAGAAAAAAAAGAGAAAAACTCCTAATACTAATAACAAATTGGTGTTCAGCAGCGACATAAAAAACGAAAGCAAACAAGATAAACTTCCTTTACAATGCATGAAAGAGACATAAAGACTTGTACTTTGCATCTAATTTCTAAACCCTATTGGGAAAGCTTCTGCATTCTCACTAATCACATTCATAAGCTATATAACTAAGTTAACTGAACCCAATCATTATTTCTGAACTCTTCAAGTACCCTCAGGAAGTTTTTAGGGAAGGCTTCTGAGATAAAGCAAGTGATGAGTGATGATCTATTCATACTAATAACAAGTTTGTGATCAGCAGCTGACGTATAAATAAAGCAAACATCATACTCGTCCTTTAATTTTCATCTGTTTTCTGAACCCTATAGCGAAAGCTTCTGCATTCTCACTAATTGCATTCATAAGCTATTTCTGAATAATTATTTCTGAATTCTTGAAGTACACTCAGGAAAGTTTCATCCTTTTAGGGAAGACTTCTGAAAGCAGGCAAGCAAGCATTAAGGAGTTTCGTTCTAATAACAAGTTTCTATCGGCGATCGATAAACCAAAAAGCAAAAACCATATTCTTCCTTTACAATGCATGAAAGAGACAGAAAGACTTGTACTTTGCATCTAATTTCTAAACCCTATAGACAAAGCTTCTGCATTCTCACTAATCACATTCATAAGCTATATAACTAAGTTCACTGAACCTAATCATTATTTCTGAACTCTTCAAGTACCCTCAGGAAGTTTTAGAGAAGGCTTCTGAGATAAGAAAGTGATGAGTGATGATCTATTCATACTAATAACAAGTTTGTGATCAGCAGCTGACGTATAAACAAAAGCAAACATCATACTCTTCCTTCACAATACATCTATTTTCTCATCCCTATCGCGAAAGCTTCTGAATTCTCACTAATTGCATTCATAAGCTATTTCTGAATCATTATCTCTGAATTCTCGAAGTACACTCAGGAAAGTTTCATCCTTTTAGGGAAGACTTCTGAAAGCAAGCAAGCATTAAGGAGTGATGATATCTTCGGTATTCGTTCTAATAACAAGTTTCTAATCGACGATCGATAAACCAAAACCTATGAATCTAAAGCAAAACACCATATTCATTCTTTACAATTCATGACAGGAAACACAGAAACATCTATATATCTATCTATCCTTGAGGAACTCTATAACCATACTAAGGATGTGAATATACATTACCTCCATCAAGAGCATTAGCTGAAGTACACTTCTTTGATAAATTTGCAGATACATCACAGTATTGCCTCTCATATCTTTCAAACACTTGACTCATCTTTCCCAGAAACCACTACAGATTCTGCAAAATCATTAGAAAATTTGCAATAAAATCACAAAAGGTCCTCAATTCAAATCAAACGAAGCTCTTCAAAATCACAATCAAATTAATCTCTAAAACACAACCTCCATTGATATCAACAAACGCATAAACATGTTACAAAATTAACATTGAAATTGAAAATAGGGGAATTAGGTTACGAAGGGAGAATGAACTAACGGATCTGAATCGATCTGAAGAGAAGAAGAAGAAGAAGAAGATGACGCCGGCGGTAATGGGATGTGGATGAAGCGGAGATCCGGCGAAGACCCAATTCTGGACAAAGAGGTGAAAAAAGAGGATTTTTTTTTATTTATTTTTGATTTAGTGAAATAGAAAATGGTTAAATAATTTTTTTTTTGTTCAAAGATGGTTAAATAATTTAATGGTTGAAATTTAGGAGTCAATAAAACATTTTGTAAATTAATATTTGATTGTTTCTACCAAAAAAATAAAAATAAATAAATATTTGATTGAGTAAATTTGATAAAATACAAGTTATGTGTGTTAGGGAGTTTGCTAATGAGTTAAAAAAAAAAGTTTTTAATAAAAAAAAAATTATAAGAATTGATTTTTGGTAGAAAAATATTATAATAGAAAAATATTAGAAAAATCTGTAAGGTTACACACTTCATGATGTATTGAATTCATCTATGATGAAAACGTCCGCAATTATCATAAGTAAAATATGAGCTACTAAGGTTAATTTGTTAGCTTAGAGCAAGATGATATTTCAGGAGAATATAGTTTTATTATGGAAAAACTCATGGATTTGATATTCGGTTACTCTCACATGACGGAAAAGGCATATGTGATCGAGGATTTTGAGTTTTCTATGGTTGACGGTCCAGTCTTGGACGTCCATTGAAACGGTACTAGTGATAATTGACTTTCGCATTCTGATCTACTACTACTTGCAACCGCTCTTCATCACCAGCAACAAATTAGAGAAGATTAATTTTTTTTTTCTAACTTCTTCAGCTTCGATGCTTTTCCACGGATAGACCAAAATCAAACTATAAATTATGCGTCCATGTTTTAATCTTTTTGCAAAGAAACCACTATTGTATAATATTACTAAAGATTATCGACCTAAATCATTTTCATTTTTAATGAAATATTTAGCAATTAAAAAAAAGATACACTACATGGAATTAACAAGATTTGTGACATAACAATAAGTTCTTTTTTCACCATATCTATTACATAAAAGATTATTTTCAACATCAACAATTACATTACAAATATTTTTGTACATCAACAAATAGGATAAGGAATACCACAAGATTGTAGGATTGCGCGAGCTTGCGGTGAAGTGACATATTTATTAAAAACTGGGTTCTTAATGAAATCACAAAAACATGGTTGTTGTGCTTTCATTTCTCCACAACATTTTGCTGTTGGTTTATCTCCATATAGTATCGCTGATATACAATCTGTGATCTCAATTTGGTTGCAAGGTGGCTTCACTGAGTTTTCGAACACATATGATTTGATCGGCACCAGAAATGACATGAGGACTAGGACAACATATGTGATGCAAACTAGTGTTGTAAACTTCATGATTTAAGAGATTATTTCAGATTTTTTATTTACTGTTTTTAATGGTAGTAAAGTTGTTTTATATAGACAAGGATTTTAATTTGTAACTTAAAGAGTGTTAGATTATGCAATGAATTTGTGGATTCTGTCTTATTTTGTTTTTATATATATAGTCAACAAAACTAATTCAAAGATATCAAAAACCCGGAAAGGAACACATACAATGTAAGTCAATGTTTTGATTTTTAGCAGAATGTTCTTTTTAGGGGTTAAAATATTACTTTATATGAATTTTTTGGGGTTAAAATATTAAATTTTAAATCTAAAAAAAAAACAAAATTCTTTTGGTTATAAATATTTATGACAGATTTTAAAATAGGGAATTAAATAATATTTTAATGCTTAAGTTCTGAAACCATTTATTTTTCAATGATCTATGTTTATTTAACTAAATAAATAATTTGTTAAGCCTGAAGATATCTTTAAATATTATTTTTTCGTTGACAAGACGTGGAAAACCTTATGAATAATCTTACTTCACTAATATCACTAGATTAGATTTAGCTAGGCCACAGTCGTGTTCATGTGTTTGTTCAATCTCATGATAACACAGTTGAGAGTTGAGACCAACATTATTGGTGGAATCTTAACAATTATCTTAACCTAAGATTTGTTAAGACCATATCTTATATAGGATATGATCTAAACAAATCTTAGCTTAAAATACTTGTTAGAGTGTTGCAGCTAGCAACTAGCAAAAAAAATAGTTTGGAATATATCTCAAGAAAGTTAATATTGACAAAAATTAAATAGAATTGGAATATATTAAAGAACAAACCACTATAATGAGTTTTTATTTTTCAAAATAACAATGGTGTATTTTATATTCCATATTTCGTCAATTATTTCTTCTTTGTTAGTCTCACCACCATTCGAATAAGTTATTTTTCTTTGAAGAAACTTAAACAAGACTTTTTATATCTTTTTGTAATTATCAAAATTAATATATGATATAAGAAAATATTACACAAAGTTAATATGATCCATGACATAATAGAAAATTTCCTATCATTAATATATAAAACTTTTAATCATCAACAATCACATTATTAATATCTTGAACTTCAACAACTAGGATAAGGAATACCACAAAATCCTAAAGCCGCATGAGCTTGTGGGGAGGTGACTAATGGCCTGAAAGCTGGATTCTTAATGAAATCACAATAACATGGTTGTTGTGCTTTCAATTTCCCGCAGCACTCTGCCGTTGGTGGAGTTCCGAGAATTATCGCTGGTACACATCCTGTGATCTCAATATCGGTGCAAGGCGGTTTCACGGAATTTTCGACCAAAGATGATTTGATTGGAGCTAGAGATGAGAGTATGACTACAAGAAATGTGATGCATACTAGAGTCGAAAACTTCATATTTTAAATTTCTCTGATTAATGTTTTTTTTTTGTTTTAGCAATAGTAAAAGCATTATATATAGATGAGGATGAAGTTGTACTGAACATTGTGAGACTGAAAAATGAGTTTGTGGATTATGATAGTACCATATAATGAGTCAATGTTTGGATTTTTACTATAATAGGTTTTTCTGTTTTGGTAAAAAAACAATAATAATTTATTAAATTATGTAAATGTCTTATATGAAAAGTGGATATGATTTATTCATAGATATCCTACCTTTTTTGCTTGAGCAAAAGATATCCTACCTAAATCTATATATTTATATACCAAAAGCTAATTACATGGGGCGGAGCCAACATATGTTATGGGGTCAATTGAACCCTATAAATTGTAAAATATTTGATATAATTTCTATACAAAAATTAATTTAACATATGGGCTAGAAAAATATTTCAACATATATTCAAACAAAAAAATTTATGATGTATACAAATTCTTTCATTTTGTTTGAGTTTCATGTAAATTTTTCATTATTTTCTTACGGGTAGATTAGATTACTTCTGAACAAAATTAATAATATTTTATACAAAATTTAACATAATATATACTATTTTATAGAAAAAAATTCTACCTTTGTCACTGTACGTGAATGGATAGCCAAAACAAGAACTTGGTTTCGAATTTTCCCCGTTTCTAATGAACTTAATGAAGGGTTATTTGCACTATGGTATACTTTTAAAAAGTGTATTTGCGCTATAAAACAGTTACAAAACATGAGGCATGTGTTGACCAAAAAAAAAAACATGAGGCATGTGGGACCAAATCTCACCGTCTTGAATCAAAGTGGAGAAAAACTAAATTCTCTCTTGAGAAAATAGAAATATTTTGTTATAAGAAAAGATATAGAAAATATAAGAGTTTGCTCAAGAAATTTGTATAGTGTTTTTATTCTCCAACAATGTTGTGTCTTTACCTCATACGAGTGTTAAATACAAAATAAATACAATAATCATCTAATGAATGCATTTGTTTTGATTTTGCATTCATAATATAACGGATGTCTTCTAATTCAAATTATTCATCTTTAAATGTCTTCTTAAATGCTTATCACGAGGTCAATTTCGCTCTTCCGAGCTCATCAATGTTTTCATTCTCCATCTCGCTATGCTCCTTTTGGGTTGGTTCATCTTGAAACATCGATCTCGTCTACCACCTATTATCTCATGGAATATGTATTCTCTTTCCTTAGTGTTGAGCCTTTAGAATAAGATCCATGCCCATAAAGGAGGCGGCTTTGGTCCCTACATTATCCTCCTAAATCTTGCAAGCTGTCCAGCTTGGGAGACTTATAGTATTAAATACGGACATGAATCCTTTAATTAAGTTTGTTCATGTATTGACGCATCTTTTCGGATCCGCACATTTTTCAACACGTGTTCGGCCACCAAGTGAGGACTCTTCTGCTTCTCACCTCTACCGAGACGTCCTTCCCCCATCATTATCATTATAAGCAAAAAATGCCTTCTTATACTCATATCTTGACTTAACTGAACTTTATTTTTCTTCACAATTCTTCGACTTTTAACTGCTTTTCAACAAATCTCATCATGGATTCTTCTCCAAATTCCGAATCTTCCTCCCCAACTCACCCTGGTTCTCATCAGGAGGAAAATTCCTTCCCAGCGGGCGCCGAGGCAGGCACTCATCTGTATGATGTCGCTGGTCGCCACTTACAGCCTTCCAGTATCAGAACGATCCAAAAAATGCGTAAACTCTGCTCGATTGCTTTAGGTGTTGAAATTTATCTTCCTTCCCTAATTGAATCGCTGAATGTCCATAGAGTTGGCTATTTTTGTGCTTACAAAGTTTGCCTCAAGGGATGCAGACTATTTTCCCTCTTCCTGAAGTTCAAATTAGTTTTCTGCATCTGATATATATTGTGTTTTTATCGGTTTTAAGTCATTGTTTTCTCTTTGTTTTATAACACTTCTATTGAGTCAAAGTGTGTTTTTGGAGTCTTTTAATCCATTATCAAGTCTTTACAGGTTTTAGGTTGCTTTGGAATAAAACTAGACATTTTGGGATGCAAATACATTTTTGGAGATGCATATACATGTAGAAGTGCAGATGTTTGGGATCGTATGGATAACTTTCCACCATTAGATTGTTATCATATTTTGACACAAGATTAAGACGGATGTTAGCTTTCACTTGCAAGTGATAGTAAGGAAATCTAAACGGTGCATTCAAGAGTTATACCCAATTTTGTGAAGACATGTCATTCTAGCGAGCAATTGAAGCAATTGTAGATATTGGAAGCAGAGAAGGTCAGATCAATCGATCCACTTGGAGACTGATCGGTCCGCCTCCTCCGGACAAGAGAAACATTCCAGAACGGGGCAGACCAATCAGTCCATCACCTGGATCGATCGGTCCACTTCCCATACGCATTTTTGACCCAGATTTGACCCAAAACATTCCAGAACCGACCCGACTTGTCTTCTATTGATTTTATATCCTAAGTTTAACCTTTCAGACATATCGAACAAACTTCTGAGTTCTAAACATTGTTTTTTTCTTTCTAAACAATTTGGGCGAGAAGAATCTGCCCTTTTGACACTTGGATAAGATTTCTAAACCCTATTCTCATTCTATGGATTCTTCATTTTTCATGTTCTTAATGCTAAGATAGGATTGATCACTCTTTTTTAGAACTTAGGCTTTTATATGTCTCAGAGATGTTCGATAAAATGTCGGAATGAATGTAATTTGAGCAATGTATTTCTACCCTGCGAGAGCTGATGTTAGAATGCATTGTGAACCAGATGAACATGTTTGATAATGCGAATTCGAATAGGAAACTACAAATAAGAGCTTAGTAATTGAATAGTGGAATGTAGTGATTAATGTCTTGAGAGAGAATTAATATGGATTTGTGTTCATGTTCAAGAACGGTTCTTTTATGTTTGAATTTCTCAATGATTTCATTTATTAGTCGTTAAGTGTTCGAAATGCCCTGCTGCACAATGTTTTAATTAATAAGTTTAGGTCTCTTTTCATTTGCATTTTTATTTACCAAAATGAAAACCAAACAAATCCTCTTTTCGTTTTAGCTAAGAATGAGTCTCGCAAGTCTTTAAAGTATCTTTGCTCTTCGTGATCGATCCCGTATATACTGCCTTTCAGTTAAGTTATCGGGTTATATACTCAAGTAATCACCATCTTTAACAAGTTGCGCTTTCTCAACTAACCCCAAATTTGCTCTGAGGTGATACTAACTTTGTTCACCGCCACATGGCTGAAGTGGGTCAAATGCTCACTACAACCGAGTTCAAGAATCTTCTCCTCTTACCCTAATGTTGACCGCACAGTCGTTTTGGGGCTGCCAAATTGCAACGTTAATTGGCGTCGCTATTGGAACTTTATTACTATTGATCGTATTCACCAAGCGGGTGAGATCGTTAGGACAGAGAGGACCATAGGTTTTATTCTCACCCCTTTCCTTCAAGGGACCATAGGTGTTGACTGGCCATAGAAAAGACCTTTTGAGAGTGAATTTTAAATTGATCGTATTCACCAAGCGGGTGAGATTGTTAGATCGTATTCACGAGAAGAAAGCCATAGAAAAGACCTTTTGAGAGTGAATTTTTACAATCTATCGTGAGAAAATAAAAAAACTCTTCTGTCTATCCTCGAGACGACCTAAAGAAAGGTTCTCTTGTTGGACGATGGGTCGAGTGACAGTACAAAATCAGCCACTTGCACTCCTCAACCCCGCCTTGATGTTACTTAATTAAACTCAAAGCGGTGGCCCAACAGTTCCAAAGAGACTCATGTTCCAACAGTTGTGTCTCTTAAAGTATTCTCCCATTCCTTATGTTCCTCTTCACTTGATAACTTTGTTTTTAATTTTAAAGTAAGCTCTGTTTCTTCATAAATAGAACTCACGGCGAACATATTCAGAGAAATCACTCCAAAGTATTGCTGTGAAACTCCTCACTTTACTTATTGGCGATCAGAAATTTGGGTGATATACCTTCGATACTCTTATCATTCTGTTTAGGTTAGTTGGAATACACATATTTAAAAAATGAGTTATTAGCATTTACACCTACTTTAAACTAAACTATTCACTACTACACCCACTTTCAACTATACATATACTTTTCCTTCCTGAAAAGACTATCATATCCTCAAAACAATCTAACTCCTCTCGTTGCTGTCTAACTTCTTCCCCTTCCCTCTTAATTTACCTTTTTTGTTTTTATTGTGGTTAAAAATCAATCCTTAAGACCATCTAACTTCCACACCATCTCTCGTTACTGTCTTAATTTTACTTTGTTTTTTATTCTAGTGAAAAAACTAATTTAGAAGAGAAGCTTCCATTTCTTTTTCACCCGAACCCTAAACTCTAATTTCATAGTTTTTGGTTTGACTTCGCCGTTGCGTTCATTGAACCACCGCTGCAACTTCGGTGTTGACTTCACCACCATTAACACTTCCCCCTTTCTAACCTTCTGTCTTTCCGCCGCCACTAAGTTTAATTACCCAGTAATATCCCTCCTTCCTCTAGATTGGTAGTGAAGAGTCGTCTCCTTTACCCACCGGAACCCTATATCCCCCGTTCACCCTCCCTCCTCCGGATTGGTAGTGAAGAGTCATCTCCTTTACTCCTCTGCCGGAACCCTATTAATCTGAAGCCTCCCCTAGGCGGTTGAATATGACTATGAATTGTGGACAATGTTCGATGGATACCCAATGCGTTCAGTGGATAACATTAATGGACAGTGTTGTGTTGTCTGGTGACAGTGTTGTGGACAGTGTTCTAATCTAAGTAAGATCTTGTCTTTGGTGGACAGTGTTGGTGACAGTATTGTGGACAATATTTTTCAATGTTACCTTAATTGTGGACAGTGTTCTAATATAAGTAAAATGTGGTATCTCTTTGTGTTCTAATCATGTGGACAATGTTCGGTGGATAACATTAATTGATAATTTTACTTTAATTTTCAGCTAACATATGTCATTGCTAGGCAACAATGTGCAAACAATTTGTGCTTTAACTTTTTGCTAGAAGCAAATGACGGAGATCTTGCTTTGTTGTTACGGCGGCGGCGACATAGACTTTTGGGTTTTTGTGGCCGTTCTTCTGGGTTTACCATTTGCGGTGAGTCTTCATACCGAAAAAAATTCCATAAGCTTAGTTAGCTCCGACGAAACCAAAAATCCAACACCGCACTTTTTAGATTCCATATGATTAGCACAGAAATGTCCCAAAATGTTCATAGATCTCCAAAACAGAGACGATAAACTCGTCGGCGTAATAGAAAGATCAATATATATATATATATATATATATATGTGTCGCTTATCGACACAAACACAAACACTTTCCCAGCCGTAGGACTATAATAATTTAGTTGAAATCTAACAGTCAAATAAGTGGGGGACATTTTTGTCTTCACAAGTTTGTCTCCCTTTGTAAAAACTAGAGAAAAGTACAGTAAGAGTAGTAAGTAGGTGTATGCGAGAACAAACTCCACTAAAGTGGGTCTAGATGTTATTGACCCTTAAAAAATTCACTCATTTGAATAGCATGTCTTGTTGACTGGCCTTGTTACTCTTGAAGTCGGTCTCGGATGTGAATGAAACGGTACTCCAATATGAGGTCCTCCTCACCAATCAAGAAGACGCTCACATAAAGGCCAACAAAGCTATTAACATGTTGAAAGCATAAGTCAAAAAGGCTTCTTCTCAATCCGCCAAGGCGCAAAACATGGAAGAGGAAATCATGAGATCAAATCCCAGCTCGAGGTGAGTGAGACACGCTTGCGAGAAACCTTCTTGACCAGCTAGATTAGGCGATACTGGAAACTTCTCAGGCTCGAGACGAATCCAAATCAGCAACTGATAAGCTTATTGAGCTGAAATGGCCGCTTCGATCACGCGATCAATGAGGCTAAGGAGGAGGCAATATACTAAGTGAAGAATTAAGAAACAGACAGATATGAAAATATCATAAAATTTAAAATCATATAAACATTTAGAATTATATTTCTCAAAACGAAAATACAATGCACCATTTCCAAAATCTCATCATAAGAAAAAAAAAAAAAATCTCTAAGAGAACACATCAGTAATTTACATGACCCAACACACAACAAACAAGGTGTCCAAAATCAGCATTTAGGTGTTCTCTTTGTTAATAAGCATACAAATCTAACAATGCTTACTGAGGCAACTCAAGATCAGGTCTTCGATCAAATGCATCACTAGTAGAATCATCTGGGAATGCGTCTGGATATGTAGCAAGAATCTTACCTTTAATGCTCCTAAAACAAGGCAAAGACTCATGAGCCACATAAGAAGAATCAAAATGCTTAAAGCCAGAACTGTAAACAAAGATCAAGATCAGATTAAAGAGCAATACCTTAGTTTCAAGAAAATGTAATCGAGGTCTGATTTCATCGATTTCAAAAGACGGGTGTTTTTAGCGAATTCCGAAGATACATCCGCAAAGCAATTCTCAGCAAATTCGTTGTAATGAGCTAGAACAGCATTACTATCCTGTAACCTCCCCAATCTAGGGGAAAAATCCGAGCAGATGCATTGATCAATACTCGTCGCATTATTATAAATCAACATATTAGGTTCCTTCATATACACCAACTCAACAATGTATAGAAAGATTCATTCAAAGATATGAACACTCAACCGAACAACAATGAAGTCAAACTATAAATGCTATACTAGAGTATCGCAGTTGGTAACACATTGGTGGTGTCTAGTGTAATTACTTTAAAAATGCTACACTAGACCAACATTTTTCAGCAATTGGTAACACATTACAAAACCGAAAAATCGCAATATACACCAAAGATATGATCTTTGTAGAACAACATTGTTATCTTGTAGCCTTCCCAATCTAGCAATATTCGCGCAAAAGCATTGATCAATACTCGTTGCATTATTACTATTAATCAACATAATTAGGTTCCCTCATATAAACCAACTCAACAAAGATTATACAAAGATGAACACTAATTTAAAAAATAACATTATGTTAACAAAATTGAATCAAGAACACATATGATCTAGCTGAAATTATCAAATTTTTTCCCAAACCAAGGATACAAAAACAAGAAAATTACTAATTGATTACATAACAAATGGTTGAGACATACATGAGGTGTTGAAAATGTCGGAGAGAATTGAGATCTTCTGTATTAACAAGAGTTTTGAATTCTTCAGAGACTTGTTGTGAAGCTGCTCTTATGGATTCTTCCATCACCTGATCGTTGTTTATTAGCGACCAGCGACTGGATCTGATAGAAAAAAAAAAGTAGGAAGCGGCGAGAGATGAAGGAAGAAGAAGAGTTAACTAGGGATTCAATTTACACGTGTAATCATATAACTTGTTTGTTTATTTATTTTTTTTTTCTGTAAAAAAAACAATATATGAATACATATTAGTGTTAAATTTATACAAAATAATAATAGAATATATATATACCTATCTAAAATATTAAATATGTGTTTTATTAGTGTTTTGAATTATGAAAATGTATGAAAAATATTTTGGTTGCTCTTGTATTTGGGACTTAAGGAAGTATTATACAAAATTTCTGATGTTTTTCTTAAAAATGTAATTAACTAATTTTAAAAATGATATTTCACTATTCTTGGTCTTAATATTTTAGAGTCTTATTATTAATATTAATTTATATATTTTCATTATTTTAGAATGTAGAAATTTGTTAATTATGGTGTATTAATGTAAAGATATTATATTTCATAAATTTATAACTGAAAATAAAGAATAAGTCGCTAGAGATTGTGAAACGAACAACACATCGACAGTTTTTAGCGACTCCAGCAACAGGAATACGAACAACAAATAATTGTGAGGGTGAACAGAACTCAAAGTCTTATCATGACTCCCATTTTTCACAGAATGAATATGAATCAAAGTATCAAGCAACCCATATAAATAAACGTTTACGAATAACTTCAAAAATAATATAACAAAGAGATCTAAATCAAAACGTAATCGAAACACTGAATTCAAATCACACAGAGGCTATTACAATACAAAATTCGAAAATTGTTTCAACATAGAAACATCTTACCTTTGTGGTGGAGGATAGTCAATTTGGTTCAATCAGAAGAATACGACATTTCCTATTGCAACAATAAAGCTTTTTTAGGTTGATGGGCTTGGTTTGGGCTGGATTAAGAAGAAACTGTATAGCCTTGGCCCAATAAATTTAACATATTTAAAAAGAAAATTAAAATAAATTACACATAAAATTATTTTTTTTTTCTCTCATGTACCAAATTAATTATATTTTAAAACAGTTATCTTGTGGATTTTTTTAACACTTGTATACTTATTTCTATCTTTTAAAAATTTTGAACTCCAAATAAGACTCAACATTATGTTTTCCCTCTACCTCCAAACTCTAACAAATGGTGAAAAAGAGTGATAATAGTAGTTTCAGTGTCAAATCATCCTTTCTGCCAAATTTTTTTTTATTTTCAAATACTACATATTCTTAATTTCTTAAAACTAATTGTCAAACACACCGAATTTTAACATGTAAAGTTACCGAAATATGATATTTTGAAATTTTTATTATGATATTTTGAAATTTTTATTATCTAATTCAGATAGTTCATAAATAAATATATTAAATGTGTTTTCTGTATTTTGAGAATAGAATAAGAGATATATAAATTTTTGAATTGCAAAACCAAACTTAATCAAACATTTTACTTGGCATTTACACATAAATTATTAGATTTTTTTTAAATTAAAAATAGGCATTTAATTTAGTTAAGAAATAGATAATATAAAATGTTTTGCTATCTAATTAGATGATTTATCTAAATATATGGATCATTTTCTGATTTAATACATTAAACAAAACAAAAGAAAAATCCTATAATAATAAGTTTCATATTAAAATTGGAATATTAATTTTTGGCAAGCCATCACAATATATAGTCAACTACAAGAAAAAAAAAAGTTAATGCTCCATTGGTTTTTTATTCATAATATATACAAAGAGTGATCGTAATACTGTAATACTAAGAGCAACATTATAGGTAGTCTTTTAATTAGGGTATCTTAGCATAATTTAGTATTAAATTTGGAAAAGTAGAGTTTAAGAGTTGTGATTTTGCTTTTAGTTTTTGGATGTGTTTATTGGTATGATCTTAAGTTGGGTATCTTAGAAAAAAAATATTTTTTAAAAATTTTAAAAATTTATAATTTGTAATTTAAGAAAATCTTATAATTATTGCAAATTTAGAATTTGAAAACATACATAAAAGATAAATTATAAGATAGAAATTATAACATAAAATACAATATTTTTAAACTTGATTGCGAGAAAATTTTGTCCATATATGCTCGACCAAAACGTTATTCAATTGTTGATGCATAACTTGATCAAATATGTTATCAGATGAAATACCAATTTATTAAATTAGCGATTCAAACAAGAAAAGGATCCCATTTAACTTCAAAGGAGCATTGAGAAGCACCAAAGTTTTATATATAGGCTAAATATAACTCATAGTTATTGCTGTTACAAAAACCTCAAAAAATCAAAAAAAAAAAAAAACTAGTTCAGTTTTGGTTGATGAAATCAGCTGGCAAGTTCAAAATCCAGTAAAGTAACTTTGTTGTTTATGAAACTTACTTTTTTATGGGACATTTCGTTTTGGTTTCAAAGAGAGAGAAAAAAAAACTGAGTAAAAAAAAAAAAATTTAGCCAACCTTTTTCTGCCACGTATGCGTATCTTAGACATATTTCTGTTTCTTATGCAACATACGTATCTTACCAAAAATTCACCTTTTTGATTTAAATTTAAATCCTAATTATTCTAAGATACCCTTTAAATCCTATTGATAATGATGGTCTAACTAATCTTAAACATAGAAAAAATGACAATCTAACATTTGACCAAATAGTACTTATTTTGTACACAACTTTTAACAGCTTTTAATCCATCTTATCCTTTTACTTTCTTCTACTCTCTCTTTTTTTTTTACCTTTTATCAGAGAAAGTATATGAATTGAAAAATGAAAAAAAAAAAAAATTGTGTATCCAATATTATCATATCTCACCAGATAATCAATGGTACTTAATGATGGATTTCATTCTTAAGTCTCTCCATACCGTATATTCAAATACCATCTGGTTGAACTAGTTCTGCTAGGAAACCAAAACTTGAACATCATAAAAAAAAATACCGCCTATGTGCGAAAAAATGGTTTCACTTTCATCGATGCACCACATAGGGAGCGTATTTGCGGCATATGAAGAACTAGCGTTCAAACTTCAATGAATCAAAGGTATCCGTATGAATAGCCGTTTGACATTGCTGACCGGTTGATTTTACGAGAGATACTCACCCAAATTCTTGATGATGAATTGCCTGAAAATATACTACTTGCTTCATCCGATTCTGATTTCTCTTATGCATTAAGAATGTTATGATAACAGGGATACAATATACTTTCAACTGCGCGCGTATGGATTGGGGACCCAATTTCCAAGTCAATAGTAGAACTTGTAGCTAAGAATACTCCACATATTGATGATCTTGCAATCACACGAAGCGCCCAAATACTGAATAGGAAAATATATCCTTGGTAAATTGATCCCAAAGTTAAGAGAGAGGAAGAGAGAGAGAGAGAGAGAGAGAGAGAGAGAGAGAGAGAGAGAGAGAGAGAGAGAGAGAGAGAGAGAGAGAGAGAGAGAGAGAGAGAGAGAGAGAGAGAGAGAGAGAGAGAGAGAGAGAGAGAGAGA